GTTTCCGCCTCAAAAAGCGGCCCCCAATCGAGTGTCGATGCATCACCCCGAAGTCTCTCCCCATCCATCCCCGCAAAACAGCGCCTGTACAGAACCCTGGGTTTGACCTTGGGTGGTTTGAGGGCATAGGATAGGTAAATAAGGTCATGATGGGAAAATCCAGGAGCGTCATGCTGACCATGAAAGGGAACCAAGGAAGGATTCGAAGTGAGTATAAGATCGAGCCAAGAGTCATCAGCAACAGTATTGTGATGAGTAGCATTCAGCGGTAAGATGTGAAGACTCGCTGACTCGATAAGATGAAGGAGCTTATTAGCTCTAGAGGAGTTTGGTAGAAGGAGATCGGTATTAAAATCACCCATGATCACGTGATGTTCGTACTCAGAACCCAAAGATTCTAGAACTGACTCGAATTCAGTGAAGTAGTCATTAGTTGGAGGGCAGTAAATAACACCCAGGACCATTTTAACCCCCCGGACACAAACCTCTAGAAATAAATATTCCGCAGAAGAATTTGGAGACGATGAAAAGAGTATTCTGTGAGGAAAGTTACTACGGAGGTAAATTGCCACGCCACCTCCCCGTCTTACAATCCGATCATTCCGAAGAAGAACGTAACCAGTAAGGGGGTAAGTGGTCGATAAGAGTTGAGGTTTGAGCCAGGTTTCGGAAATCAGAATGGCATGAACATTGCCATTGTTAAACGCATCAAAGAGGTCACTGTAGTGACTGGGAACACTCTGTGCGTTTATGTGGCAAACATTGAAAAATCTGCCGCTCTTATCGGAAAAAGTGCGATCGATGAAGTCTGCAAGAGTAACACCCAACGAGCAAAAACTATCACTGTTAGAGGCATCATCATTAGCGGAAACAAAAGAATCACTATCTGACATATAAAATAATATGATTGCGTATTCTGTGATAAAGACAAACCAAATGAAATAAACGGATGATACAAAAGCACGAGATGGAACAAGGTTAAAATGGCACCAGCTACAAGCTATGATATGAATGATACATTAAATTCTTATCGTGAGAGTAGTATTTTATGTTCTCTATTTCATCTTTTTGTTCTATATTTTTTTCCCAATGGAAATAAATGTACCAAAAAAACACCTAGCAAAGCTCAGTCATCCAGGTACTATTAGTAAGATTACCTTTTCCCCGTCTCGGAGTTAGCTTGGCTAGTATTAGACACGGTGGAGGCGGCGCGTCTCGTCCGCCTCGCTGGGGTCACCGCCTCGCTCTCTGACACTACTGGCGACTCAATCGGACTCTCCGCGTCTCCTTTCTGAAGTGGAAATTGTAGTTTATGTAATACTGTCACAGGTTTAATATGAAAGGAAAAAGGTAGTATAAAGGTATTGAGAAAATCCTTATGTATTTATATATTTGCATGTAGTAGGTTGATGACCTCTTAATTTATATTCACCTCGTTTTACGTAATTATATTTTTCATCTACATGTGAGTAGGCACTAATTTTAAGAAAAGCCCAGGTATTCCTCTTCGGTTGTTCACAAATGCTTCGTAAATAACAATGGATCAAAAAATAAGTATTTTTCAAGGAAATGAAATATAATAGTATCCAGAAATCCAGATTCCGAAAAACCAAACTTATCAAATCGTGTGCGTTACCCCTGGGTAACGATATTTGACCTGCCAAATGTCGAAAATGGTCAATTGAATTTTATAGATAATTAGTTATGCGGTTTCTGTAATTGTTGCGCTCATAGTTTTTTTAATTATTTCACAAAAACATTTCTTGCTGGGGTAATGGTATTTCAGCCAGACCTTTTTGTTTCTAATGGGAGTATTTAAATAATTACTAGCTATAAAATAAGTTGTCTAGATGAAGTAAATGAAGTTATGTTGTAGTATAGATATATTGTGTATATTGTCGAATTATGTATGTGTTCTTTCAAATAGTTAAATTCAACGCATGTTTTGCACCCGCTGATTACTTTCTCTGCATCACCCAAGGGTCAGACTGGTAGAAAATGCCTGCGGCATTAAGTCCACCCATGTGCTTGTTTGTGTGCATAAAGCTTTTTAAATAAATAAAAAAATAAAAAAATATTGTGCCTTATTTTGTATTTGTTCTTTCATTGGTTGCGAAGTTATTTGATATTTTGCTGGGGTAACGTTTTTAGTTTTGCTAGATCTTTCAATGGTTAAGCGGATTCTTATAATATTTTGCACATGGCTTTTTAAGAATTAGTTCAAATTTGTTCTGCAATTAAAAACAAAATAATACATAGCTTAAAGGTTATTTCATTAAATAGAGAAGCACATACAAATAACACCGCGCGCATCAAGACCGTGCTCGTGAAGAACTCAATATCATCATAACTTGTTCAATACTTACAGGATACTATTGAAACTAAAAATACATTTGAAGGCAGTTACATGAAACTGTCAAACACCAAGCGGTCACCGGTGACCGCAACCGCAATTGTTCTATAATTGTGTCTATAATGACGGTACTCGACGAGTTAAAATAACGTTTAAAGTAAGTCTTTAGAACTCTTATTGAGAGTGCTGGGACCAATTGAAGTGTTTCTATTTAATGAAATAACCTCTAAGCTGTGTATTATTTGAGTTTTTTAATTGCAGAACAAATTTACACTAATTCCTATGAAGCCATGTACAAAATATGATAAGATTCCGCTTAAGCATTTCAAAGATCAAGCAAATCCAAAAACGTTACTCAAGCAGAATCTCTAATAACTTCGCAACCGATGAAAGAACAAATACAAAATAAGGCACAACATTTATTTCATCTAGACAACTAATTTTATAGCTAGTAATTATTTAAATGTTTCCATTAAAAAGTAAAATGTCTAGCTGGGGTGACGTTACCCCAGTAGGAAATGTTTTTGTGAAATAATTCAAAAACTTTGAAGCACAATACATTTAAAAATGTGCGCAACAATTACAGAAGCAGCAAAAGTAATTCTCTATATGAATCAAATGACCATTTTCGACAACATCTGGCCTGGATAACGCACACTATCAAATTTGTATGATATCTATACATACCCTAAGGTCAGTAGAAGTCCGCCTGCCTTTAGGCGTGTGTAGTGCTTCACACGCGCGGTTGAATGACTTGCGACGGCCGCGCGCTGGACTCTCAGACCCCATCGGCACTGGTGAACTGTCTGGACCGTCCGCTGAGAAAAGATGCATCGTAAAGTTAAAATATAACTAATTAATTTAAAATATCAAGTTTCAATTTATTAAGATGGTTAGGACGCTATTGATGTTTTAAATATTTCGATCTGTCGGTCAATTTTATAACAATATTTATATTCGCATATATTTTATTTCAAACTTTCTGTGCCTGCGATTTTGTCCGTGTGGAATAGTGAAGATTCACAGCTCCTCCCCTATAGGTGATAGCGTGAAATCATAGGCCGGGTCACATATTAATATAGCTTATATGTTGACCCGGCCTGTTAATAATATTCATGCAAAATAGTACACAAGCAAGTACTTTTTGAGTTTAGGCCGGACATATACAGACAAAAATTTTAAAAACTATACATTTGCCTTCGATATCGGTTGTAGATCACGACCCGGATAATCTTTTAAAAAATATTCAATGTACTTTTTTGACTTTCCTATGATTTTATTAAATGTATAGATCACAGGACTTATACAGACCAGTCCAACTTTTGAAACTCATATTCTTCAATCAGTCCGCAGTGTGGCTAGCAAAAGCAAACAATGCTTTTTTTTTTTAAGGGGGAAAATCATAGAATGATTTCTCTCACCCGGGTGAGGCGAGAGGGAGTGTCAGACACTTACTGACTAAAAACCACCCCATTCCTACTTCTGCACTTCGAGCCGGAGCCCCGGCAACCCGTGGAGTCCTCCGCGGCTCCGAATCGGCATCATCCCTATTGGGCCTCATTTGTGGTGGTCTGATGGCTCCATGAGGCGCGCGCGGAACGCGACGCACCGTATGCTCGGGTCTGGTTGGGTCTGGTTCTAGTCGGGCAGCGAGTCGCCCATGCTCACCGCCCGCAGGCCTATTCTTACGGAGGCCGGAGATCGTCTCGCAATCCCCGACACCCAGAGTATCTCTCGCGACGGCTGGGGCGTGAGGAGGTTCGTTCCTTCACGCGTCCCACCTCCTCTTTAGCTAACATGATTACTTCGTAGAAGGAGGAGACGGCATCCCAGTCCCCCTCGCTCCGTATCATGGTCTGAATCAGAGCCGGGCGCGAGAGGTCGCCGTCGCCGATCACATCCCTGAGGACACGGCGGTACTCAGCTCACGCAGGGCACACCGCCACCGTATGCTCCACCGTGTCCTCCGAAGCAAACAATGCTAAGGTTTAATTTCACTAATACGATTGCATGAAAATGTAAACTTACCAACGTCAACAGATATCCTCCTATTGATTTTGGCTGCACGAGGCGTCACTTTGGTTTCTGAGGCAGCCCTGCCGAGACGAGCTGCAATCATTTCGAAAATAATATTGAAATACGTTCTATAAGAACGTTCTATACCTTTATTTAGTTTACTCTTTTAGGTTTTGCTCAAGACATCGCAGTCCTCACTTAGTACTTAGACCACAGACCTCATGTCGGTGTGCGTTACCCAGGCCAGATGTTCTCAAAAATGGTCATTTGAATCTTATAGATAATTAGTTGTGGGGCTTCTGGAATTGTTGCACACATTTTTAAATTTGTTGCGCTTATAGTGTTTTATTTAGTTTACAAAAACATTTCCTGCTGGGGTAACGTTACCTCAGCCAGACATTTCTAATGGGAATATTTAAATAATTACTAGCTGTAAAATTAGTTGTCTAAGTGAAGTAAATATTGTGCCTTATTTTGTATTTGTTCTTTTATCGGTTGTGAAGTTATTCGAGATTCTGCTGGGGTAACGTTTTTGGTTTTGCTAGATCTTTGAAATAGTTAAGCGGATTGTTATCATGTTTTGTACATGGCTTCTTAAGAATTAGTTTAAATTTGTTTTGCAATAAAACAACCAAAATAATACATAGCTCTATGGTTATTTTATTAAATAGAAAAACACTTGAATTTGTCCCAGCTCTTTCAATAAGAGCTCTGAAGACTTACTTTAAACTAGTTTAAACATTAGAAAGAAAAAGGTCTGGCTGGGGTAACGTTACCCCAGCAGGGATTATAATATTTATTATGCATATGTTTATATTACTG